ACTACACAGCAGGATGGGACTTGCTTCCATTTCTACTTATCAGCAAGTGCAAGGTGCCTCTAACTGTCAGCATTGGGGTTCTACAAAATATAGGAGGGATTTGAGGGCTGCCTCTCTGGATTACCTAGTTAGGGTAACCAGTATTGGGAAAAAAAGGTCTCTCACAGAAACATGCTAGACTTTTCCACATCACAGGAACTCACAGTAACCCCACAGGGCTCTTTAGTGTTAGTTATGTTTCTTCCCACAAGAATCTTATCTCAGAAGGTGAAAAGAAAACTGTTTTTAAGGAGTTAGCCTGTGAACCATAAAAATAAATAAATAAATAAATAGAAAGCTAAAGGAGGAAAGAGTGGGGGCTTGGTGTGGGTTATCTCTTTCAGGATTGTTTTTTTTTTTTTTTTTTTTCCTCCAAAAGTAGTAGGACATTCTTACTGACAACTGTAAGAGGCAGAAGAGCTGTAGGGAGAAGAGAACCCAGGTAACAAAGGAAAGAGGACTGGAACAAGCTTTGGTATGACTCCCACCAAACAGAGCCAGGAATCTCTCCAGTGCCAAAGTGCAGAATTGGAAGCAGCAAGAAATCTCTCACAGACTTTTAGGAAAGATTCTGGGCCACAGCACGGGGCCTCCTCTGTCTGGGCCAGGAGAATTCTGGCAGCAGCCCCCGGCCCAGACTTGTTCCTACATAATTGAAGTCGAATGTGCAGGGGGGAGGGTGGACCTAGGAAGCCTTCCTGCTCTTCCAGACTGCAGAATCTTCAGCATCCTGCAGTTGGCCTTGTTTGGGATCAAAGCCAGTTAGTGTTGATTTTTTTGCAGCATGGAAACAAATGCAATGAAGCTGTTTTCCTGAGGCCTGCATTTTGCAAGGAGGAGTTTAATTTTTTTCCCTCCCAAGGACAGGTGGAGGGGGGAACAGTGGGGGAACATGACGTGGCTCTTGTATTGCTGGCATTTTTGCAAACCATTTTGGGATTGTAGCTTCCACATGAGCGTAAAGGAATCAGATGTGTGGGTACAGCTTCAGCTAAGCAGTGTCTGTCACCAAAGAAAAATTCGTAAAAAAATGCTGCTGGAAGAGGCCGTGCATGATAAGTTACAATTCGGTTGCTCTCTGTTGGAGTGCTTCCAAGAGAAAACTCTCCATATTCCTCCTAAAATTTTCCGCTGACTCTTCTCCACTTCCAGGCCTTTCTCTGTGATCTGTTCTCCTGCCCCAGAAATTAGTCGGTGGTGCTCCTTCTTTTCAGTCAGCACTCAAGTCCTTTGGTGTTAAGCGTTATGTTAATGGTGTAAAGTGACACCCGGTAAATTTCTCAAATTGTGGGAACACCTCATTCTTTTACAGGGAACTTGACTAATCCAGTGCTCAGGGGAAAGTCTGAACCTTGCCTCTTGGGCCATCACCAAAGCCTTGAGAATTTAGAATCGAGAATCCATGCAATTGGGAGGGTGGTGGTGGTGTGTGTGTGCACATGTGCACGTGTGTGTCAGGGGGTGTCTCTGGGCTTTATTGTTTTGTGGGTTGGTTTTTTTTTTTTGATGCTAGGAATCACACACACTCTACTACTAAGTTACATCCTCAGGCCCAGGGTGCTGTTTTTTTTTTTTTTTTCCTGGTGGTACTGGGTATTGAACCCAGGAGCGCTTTACCACTGAACTACATCCTCACTCTATTTTTTTTTTTTTTTAATTTAACCTTTAAAGCCAGGCCCAGTGGCGCAGGCTGTAATCCCAGTATTGGGAGGCTGAGGCAGGAGGATCACAAGTTCAAAGACAGCCTCAACAATAGCAAGGCGCTAGGGGCTGGGGATGTTGCTCAAGTGGTAGCGCCCTCGCTTGGCATGTGCGAGGCACTGGGTTCGATCCTCAGCACCACATAAAAATAAATAAATAAATAAAGATATTGTGTCCACCTTAAAAAAAATAGCAAGGCGCTAAGCAACGCAGTGAGACCTTGTCTCTAAATACAATATAGGGCTGGGGATATGGCTCAGTGGTCAAGTACCCCTGAGTTCAATCCCCAATACCTGCCCCCCCTCACTAAAGAAAAAGACTTTAACCTTTATTTTTTTATTTTTATGTGGTGCTGAGGATTGAACCCAAGACCCCACCTGTGCTAGGCAAGTGCTTTACCACTGAGCTACAACCCCAGCCCTCCTCAGCTCTATTTTGAGACAGGGACTCACTAAGTTGCTGAGGCTGGCATTGAACTTGCAATCCTCCTTCTTCAGCTTCCCAAGTAGCTGGGATGACAGGTATGGACCACTGGACCCAGCAGGGTCCATGAGGAAATAAAGGTACCAAGGATATTTGGTTTGGAAACTGTTGCTTCTGAGCAAGATGTCTCCATGAAGTCAGGTCAAAACTGGTTCTCCTATTCCACATTTATGCTCAATGCTACATGTTTATTTTTATCAATTGGAAAAAAGTGCACCCAGCTGGGGCTGTGGCTGTGGTTCAGCGGTAACCTACTTGCCTGGCATGTGTGAGGCACTGAATTGAATTCTCAGCACCACGTGTAAGTAAATAAAGGTTTATCAACAACTTAAAAAAAAAAGTGCACCATTGGCTGCATTATACTAGTGTAGATTTATTCTGGGTCTTGTAAGCCTTCATACTGCAGATTTCACTCTGACTTCCCCACCTGGACTAACCTCCCTGCATTAATTTCCAAGCAATCTCAGGCTGGATCTGAATGGAGTCTTGGGTCAGGGGATTTAGAACAAGGTCTGAAAAGAAACAAAGCAGCTTTAGTGAGCTTGGTAATTAGCCTTGGAGTAACAAATGTTATCTGTACCAGCGTAGTTCTGTGCCAAGTACCGAATCCACATTTCCCAAAGACTCCAGTGAGAAGTTTTTGACCTAAAGCAGTTCAACGTTAGGCCCCAAAGACTGTGATCATCTTGTGTGAAAGAGATTGTTCATCTCTTCTTTTCAGGCAGCAAGAGGGCAAAATCCAGATCAAGAACCTACTGCAGAACTGCTTTCATGTTCTCTTGAGCTTCCAGAATTAGAGAGACTACTCAATGTTCATGAAAATAAACTGGGCGGGGCGGGCAGGGGAAAAAAATGAAGATAAACTGGCTACGATGATTCTAAAATAGCGTTCGTTATTGAAGGACTTTCAAAATTAACGCCTGACAGAACACATAGCCTAAGTATGAGCCTACTGGGCACAGCAATGAAGCTTCAGAGATGTCAGGTGAAGAAGGATTATCCTTGAAAAATGAAGAGGATGGGAAGGAGTTGAATATGATGTTAGTCAGGATAAACGGACCACAACCAGTCTCCCCCAGTGAAAAATAGAAGGTGGCTTATGTAACCTCCCCTAATACACAAGTGCAAATGTTTTTTGCTTGCTCCAGGAATACTCCATATGGAACAGCATTTCAGGAAACCAGGTTCACATTATAGATGGAGAGGAGTCACTTGGCCTTGGCACTAAACTCCTAGTTCCTGAAAGGAAGGTCATTCTATCACTGCTTCCCTTTCACTTCACATTTTTAACTTTAAAAAAGTAACATCTGGGGCTGGGGCTTGCCTAGCTTGTGTGAGGCACTGGGTTCAATCTTCAGCACCACATAAAGATAAATAAAGGCATTCTGTCCATCTACAAATATAAATTTTTTTTTTTTCTTTTAAAGTCTTCTCTACTTGGTAGAGCCACTAGGCAGATATTCCCATCTTAAGAATTTTTATAGGGCTGGGGATGTGGCTCAAGTGGTAGTGCGCTCGCCTGGCATGCGTGCCGCCCGGGTTCGATCCTTAGCACCACAAACAAATAAAGATGTTGTGTCCGCCGAAAACTAAAATAAATAAATAAATAAATAAATATTTAAAAAATTCTCTAAAAACAAGAATTTTTATAGGCAAGATTGAAAGTGGAGCTGGGCGTGTAGCTCAGTGGTAGAACATGTGTTTTAGCAATGTAGAAGGTCCCAGGTTCTATCTCCAGCCGCGCCACCAAAAAAAAAAAAGGAGGGGGGTCTGGCCAGCAGCAGAAGCCTGCCACAGAATACTCAGTAGCATCCTAAGATTGATGAAAGTAATGGCTAGATCTAAGTGACTTAGATGTCCCCCTCCACTATTTTTTATTTATTTTTGATACCAGGGATTGAACCCAGAAGCACTTAACCACTGAGCCATATCCCCAGCCCTTTTTTATATTTTATTTTGAGACAGGGTCTTGAAGAGTTGCTTAGGGCCTTGCTAAGTAGCTGGGGCTGACTTTGAACTTAGGATCTTCCTGCCTCAACCTCTTAAATCACTGGGATTATAGCCATGCACCACTACACCCAGCTCCCCTGCACTATTAAGAAGCAGAAATTGGCTAAGTTTGGTGGTGCAAGCCTGTAATCCCAGTGACTTAGGAGGCTGAGGCACGAAGATTGTAAGTTCCAGGTAAGCCAGGGAAGCTTACCAAGACCCTGTCTCAAAAAGGGGGTGGGGGACTGTGGATATAGCTCAGTGGTGAAGGACTACTGGATTCAATCCCTGGTATCAAAAAATAAAAATATATGTATAAAGTAATAAGAAGCAGAAATTGATTCTCCAGAGTCTTAATTTCCCTTCTGCTGCCAAGAGAGCAGGAATGCAGAAGACCATTAGGCAGTAGTGAATTCAGCTTTATCCCAGAGAAAATAAAATGGTTTTCTCCAAATGTGAAATGACTCTTTCCTTTTTTACATAAGTCTATAGACTTCATCACACTAGCAAAATACGCCACCAGCCTAAGCAACATGGCACCACGTACCATGGCCAAATCATATATAGTACTTGAGAGTGTGCCTACTAACTGCACCAGAAGAGGGTTCCAAACAATGATGGAAGGTTGCTCCTTCATGATTTTCCAGTTCTCACATTCCTGGTTGGCTATCTACCTAAGTTTCTCAGCCCTTTGAATGACAGCAGCTTTGCTTGGCAGTTGTAGTTGCTTCAAGTGCCTTATATTACCCAGTGTCCTTAAGGAGTCACATTTGTGAGTGTAAAAAAAAAAAAAAAAAAATCTCAGCTTTAAGGCCTGTAAAAGTCTCAGGTTAAAAAAAATCAATTCCTTTTTGTTTACAAAAGAGTTATGTGTCTGGGTCTTCCCCTACTTCAAGCCTTCAAATTCAGATAATTTCCCCTAATCTATATTTGGTTTGGCTTTTTTATTCTTTTCTTTTTTTCAGGTACTGGAGATTGAACACAGAGGTGCTTTACCACTGAGCTACAACTCAAGCCCTTATTAGAGTCTCACTAAATTGCCCAGGCTGGCTTCAAACTTGTGATCCTCCTGCTTTAGCATTCTGAGTAGCTGGGATGACAGGTACATGCTACCATGCCAGCTTAGGTTCCTCCTACTTTTTGTTGGTTTGGGGAGCTGTAGGAAAGAGGCTGAAAAGATGGATAATCCAGCTGCTCACTATCCTGTCAAAGAGTTGATTTTTATGCTTATCTCTAAATCCAGGCCATTGACTTTCTTGATTAGATATGTGTTCCTAAGCAAATGTCAGAGACACAAACTTCACACAGCATAATAATTTCAAAGTTTGGTTATTTTAATGCAATTTCACTGTTCAAGGTAGTATGGGTAAATTAAGTGGTTCATTTCCACCCTGAAGAGAACACTAACAGCTCCTGTCTTATCTAATTGTCATAACTCTTTGACCTTCTTTTAAAATAACATTTTCTTTACATATCTTGATAAGATTCCCCCCCCACACACCCTGGAACATTTCTTTTAAACCTTCAAGTAGTTTGGGGACCTTTGCCTGTTTGCTCATTCCTCTGGGCACAGCCTTCCAGAGCATTTGTCCCACCTGTGCTGAAAACCGCAGCTCTGCCAGCTGGAGGCTGGGCCGCGTGATGGAGGCGATCATAATGAAATGAGGAGCAAGCTTTGTAAACTACTTCTTAATTAGTATGCTACAATCCACCCCAGCTTCTGCAAGGTCAGACATGCAAGACAAGTACTTGGCCAAAACAGCAGGATTCTAACTAGTGTAAAAATAGATTTTAAATAAAATAGAATCTCTATAGGAAAGACAATTAGGTTATGCTTTACATTCCCACTCTTGCTTTAAGATATCTGTATATTAATTAAAGTCCAAGAAGGACTTATAGCATTAGCATTGGTCTGCCCTAAGTAAAAATTAAGAATGTTTGACTAAGTACATTCATTTTGCAAAGTTACAGTTAAGGTTTTTTTGTTTTTTGTTTTTGGTGGGGGGGGGGGGAAAGGAAATGCTGCAGCATATCCCCCAAAATGGATAGTGATTAGCAACACAGCTGATGTATTAACAACACCTAGGACCATTTAAGTCAAAGGGGATGAGGCCCAATCACAGCCTAAAAAATAATTATTCAATGTGACAATTTAAAACCTTTGGCTAATTATAAAGCAGAAAACAAAACCCATCATTTAACAGTATGCCTTGTTAACATGTCCAGCTCCCTCTTCTAGAAGCTAAATTCCAACACGGGTCTCGCTTCAGTTTCACTCAATTATGGCATGTCACGAATTATCTTGTTTCTGGTTCTAGAGAAAGTACACAACCCCTCTTCAGTCCATAACAAGCATTACATGACTGTTTTAAAGGGGGCTCTGTTGAAATTCAAATTTTAGGATTTAGTAACAGCCTTTGGTTATATCTTGAAAGCATAATTGAAAATCTGCCCAAGCTCCCTCTAGCTGCAACCTGAACATGAATTCGGATCTTTTGTAAACATTCAGAAAATACTGATCCCAGCAAAATACACAATTAGCTAGCCAGAGGCCTCATTCTATGTTTTCACATGGATGATAAATTTCCTCTCTTATTCTTGCTAGATACTAGGAAATCCACTCTGAGATTTAGATCTTGAATACTCATTAAGCCTCTTTCTTATTTGAGGTGCATAATGATGTGTGGAGTCACCAGAAATAAACTAAGTGGAACTGCCACCATTTTTCCTACACTATGTCTACTCAATCTGTCCTGGGTTGTTTTTCCTGGCTAGCTGTAGGGCAAGAAGAGATGGCTGCTGGTGACAAGCCACTGCCTGGCTTACAACCCAGCCCATCTTCATATAACATTCAAACAATTCTTCAACTCCCCAGAGGAAGGGAGGGATGGCAATGATATGAGACTGGAGCTAGGGAATTTTCCTAGCTCCTCAGTAGCCAATGGGAGCCTGCCTTTAGAGCAGCTGCTATCAGCTCTGGGAGGTTTAGTGCTAGGTAACATTACCTTTGAGGTTATGAAAAACTTCACGTCTTAAAACTACCCTACAGCTAAACATCAAATACTCCAACTCAATAAATACAACGGAAAAATGCACAGCAGAGTTGGGGCATCTACCAAGCAGGAAGGCAAAATGGTCATTAGAATGTCTGAGGTTAGTGAACTCTTACCCACCTTTGAAAACACTGTTCAGGTGCATCTGCTCTCTCAGCACCCTCTACATTCACTATGCCACACTAGCAAATGAAAGATCCAAACGACTGTGGCTTGATCCTTACTTGTACTTATTAGGGCCCACCCTCCCATTTAGCCAAAGGTCCCAGCACACCCTTCAGTGCCAGGGAGAACAGTCTCAGGGATGTTGTTTTTCTGAAGATCACTTGCCCCTCTTGCTTCGACCCTTCCTGGAGGGCAGCTTCCCGCTGCCCCCTGAAGAGGAGGAGCTGGAGGTGGAGGCCATGGCAATGTTGATCTGTCCTTCCTGTATTTCCTGCCGGGTCTCAGCAGGTAGATGGCTGATCTGCTGCTGAGTCTCAAGGTAGAACATGACATCACGCAGCTGCTCCTGGATCTCGGTGATCTGAAGGTCTTTTTGGTCACAGGTCTCCTTCAACAACCTTTCCTCCTCTTTTAGCTTGTTCTGCAGGAGGACCTGGTTGGCCCGCAAACACTTATTCATTTCCTGCTCCTCCTGGAGCTCAGTTGTGAGTTTGGCCACTTTCGTATTTAGCTGAGTGCACCTTTTGCAAAACAAAGACAAAAGCATATCTTTTCATTTGCTGACACAGTCGCCTTTCTACTCTGGGATTGAACAGCAGGCCACGACCTCAGAATCCATTTTAGAGCAGTCTCCCCCTCCCTCCTCTGCTGAGGGAGACTGGTTTGCTGCCACTGTAATCAGCTAGGCAAAGAAAGAATTTTGCTCTTGTTAACCCAGGTGTAGCTTCCAGCCAATTTTTAAGCATCTGAAATTTTTCAGTAGCAGAAACTTGTGTGACTCATGGTAAAAATGCTTCTGTCAGTCCATAGTTAAATGGATGCCTCAGAGAAATAGCTATAATAAAGAAGTTATGAGGAAAAGTGACATTCTTGGAGAGTCAATTGCTCTGACCTCACTGCATTTCTGGAGGAGAAAAAAAGATGCTTATTCTAACCAAAGGGTTTTCCAGAATTGGGAATTCCCTATTCTTAATGCCCAATCTTACACATAAGAATTATAAATGAAAACACCATTTGAGATACCATTTTTATGTTTCAGAGTGCTAAAGAGCCCACTGGAAGAGGCACACCTACTACCAATGAATGGATAAAGAAAATGTGGTGCACATATATAATGGACTATTACTCAGCCTTAAAGAACAATGAAATTATGACATTTGCAGGTAAATGGATGGAAATTATCATGCCAAGTGAAATAAGGAATCCCAAAAAACCAAAAGCTGAATGTTTTCTCTTATAAGTGGATGCTGATTTGTAGTGGGGGGTGTATGGTTACGGAAGAATGAAGGAACTTTGGATTGTGCAGAGGGGAGTGAGGGGAGTGCTGGGGTAGTGGGGATGGGAAGGAAGGTAGAATGAGAGACATTATTATCCTATATACATGTATGATTACACTACTGGTGTGACTCTGCACCATATATAGCCAGAGGAACGAGAAGTTGTGCTACATTTGTGTACAGTATGTCAAAATGCATTCTACTGCCTCCCATAGCTAATTAGAACAAATTAAAAAAATTTACAAAAAAAAGGCACACCAACATGTTTACACTGAAGTGTAAATTGGTACAGACTTTTTGGAAGTCAATTCTCTTAAATTGGGCAGTGGCCCATGCCTGTAATGCCAGGGGCCCACACCAATAATCCCAGTGGCTCAGGAGGCTAAAACAGGAGAATCGCCAGTTCAAAGCCAGCCTCAGCAAAAGGGAGGCACTAAGCAACTCAGTGAGATCCTGTCTCTAAATAAAATACAAAATAGAGCTGGGGATGTGGCTCGGTGTTTGAGTGCCCGAGTTTAATCTCTGGTACCAAAAAACAACAACAAAAAGTTCACAGCCGAGCATAGTGGTGCATACCTCTAATCTCAGCAACTTGGGAGGCTGAGGCAGGAAGATCATTAAATTTGAGGCCAGCCTGGACAACTATATCTCAAAACTATATCTCCAAAAAAAGGGGGGAGGGGTGGGCTGGAGATACAGTTTAGTGGTAGAACACAACTGGGTTCAGTCCCCAGTTCTGCTTAAAAAAGAAAAGTGCACATGCCCCACCCCGCTTTTAGGGGATACCAGGGATTGAACTCAGGGGTACTCGACCACTGAGTCACATCCCCAGCTCTATTTTGTATTTTATTTAGAGATAGGATCTCACTGTGTTGCTTATCACCTCCCTTTTGCTGAGGCTGGCTTTAAACATGCAATCCTCCTGTCTCAGCCTCCTGAGCTGCTGGGATTACAGGCATGGGCCACAGCACCCAGCTGCACATGCCTTTTGACATAGCTATTAGCTATTCTACTTTTTTATCCTATAAAAAGATGAATGAAGAAAGATGCTCATTAAAACACTGTTTATATCGGTGTAAGACAGGAGACAATTTAAATGTTAATCAATAGGGAATTGGTTAAAATTATTATAGTGTATCCATACAATGTAAATCATGCAACTGTTAACAAAGATCAGAATAGATCTAAATATGCTAGTATGAAAATGTTTCCAAAAAAGAATATTTCACCAAAGAGAATATCTGCAGTACTGTTTTTATAGAAAAAAGATAATGTGCCAGGCATGGTGGCACACCCCTATTATCCCAGTGACTTGGGAGGCTGAGGCACAAGGATTGCAGGTTCAAAGCTGGCCTCAGCAATTTAGCAAGACTGTAAGCAATGTAGAGACCCTATCTTGAAATAAAAAATAAAAATGTCTGGGGATGTAGCTCAGTGGTAAAGTGCCCTGGGGTTCAACATTCACTATTAAAAAACAAATACAAACAAACAAGTTACCACTTACTAGGATCCAGGAAGTGAAAAGAGCATCTAGTTTTAACTAATTTTTTTAACTCAGCTCAATTTGTTAGGATATTGAAAGTGGAAGAAAATTTAAAAATTTCTATTAATATTGCAGTGTTGTTTTTATAGAGGTTTAAAAAATTTGGTGAGAGAGTTTCTGTTTGGGGTGATGAAAAATTCTGGAAGCATAGGGATGGTAGTGGTTTTGCAACATTGAAAGTACACTTAGTGCTATTGAATTTATACTTAGAAATGTTAAAATGGCACATCCTGTGTTCCATATATATTTTTCTACAACAAGAAGAAACTATTAGAAAATGTTTTTTAACAGTAGGAGAAAATGGGTGAAGAGTATTAGGAAATCTTGATGCTACTATATTTGCAGTCTTTCTATTATTCTAAAATTATTCCAAAATAATGTTAAAGAAAAAAAATACTTTTTCTCCCTATGGTACTAGGGATTGAATCTAGGACCTTGTGCATGCTAGGCAAGTGCTCTATCGCTGAGCTATATCCCCAGCCTCCCAAACAATCCGTCCGTCTGTCTATCTATCTATCTATCTATCTATCTATCTATCTATCTATCTATCTATCTATCGTATATAAACAGACATTTGGTGTTGAGGATTGAACCCAGTGCTTTACACATGCTAGGCAAGAACTGTACCACTGAGCAACAGCCCCAAACCCCCAAACAATACTTTTTTTTTTAATATTTAGTTTTTGGTTTAGATGGACACAACATAATGCCTTTATTTTTATGTGGTGCTGAGCATCAAATTCGAGTCCAACCTGTGCTAGGCAAGTGCTCTACCGCTGAGCCACAATCCAGCCCCAAACAATACTTTTTAAGGACCCATTATCCCCCTTAAATGTATGTTTTATCTATTTGTATGAACACAATAAATCCATTCACTTCCAAAGTGAATATAACCTAAATCAGAAAGATAATTTTAATCAGTAACAACTATCTTCTTAAATGAGAGTGGCCACACTAATCATTTGGCTCCTTGCTCTATTTTCAACCTCTTTGGCTAAAGCCAACGACATCTCTGGCTTAGATATAGACTCCTTCCTAACTTCCAGTTTTATCAACCATGGTTCATAGCAGCTGCAGGCCCTGAACACAAGGAAACTCCTTCCTACCAACAAAAATGGAAGCCATCTGCCTCGCTGCAAGATGCAGATGGCAGGGGGCCATCCACCTCAGGTGAAATAATGCATTTTTTAGTAAATAAGGAGTCACAGTAAATTTGCTCCACTTATAGGGAATCTCTTGAAAACCTGGTGATGTACACACTTGAAATTGAAGGTCCTCCCAAAAGAATGAAGGGAATCATCTGTTGACAGGGCATGTTACCATAAAGTGGCTAATTTGAATAACAGACCAACTATACCTACTTCCTTTCCACAGACTGCTTTTCTTTCAGGAGATCATTGAGTCTGTGCTCCAGATTATCACACTTCTCAATCGTTTCTTTAAATTTGGTCTTCATGTTGTTAATCTGAAAGAGCAAAGAGGGATCATGCTAAATTGTGTTGTCCTTGGACACGATTTTCCCCAATTATCAGTGTATGATTTTGACAAACCAAATCTAGAAAAGGTGAGGTAATCATTTGAAAGCATATCTGGGAGCCAGGGTTGTAGCTCAGTGGTAGAGCACTTGCCTAGCATGTGAAACACTGGGTTTGATTCTTTTTTTTTTTTTTTTACAACAGATAAAGAAAGTTTTAATTTCTTTTCACATTAACATTGCTTACCACAATCAGTTAACAGAAATTACTGTAACATTGGTCAAGATGACTTCTTAAAACTAAAGATGTTTGTTATGAGAAAACCTCAATGTGAATGATGATGTTAGATACTATATTTTTCATGATAAGATACAACTTATTTTGAAAAGAAAGCAAATATTTCAGATCAGGGAGACATGCTGAGGTTTTAATAAAAGAAAAGCATTGCTTTGTCCAGAATACTTAAGTCTAGGACACTTCAGGTAAGAGATGAGTCAGATGCCAAGCGCTGGGCAGTGGCACAGGCCTGCAGTTCAGGCTTTATTTACATGACTGGGTCTATGCAGCTCTCACCTTCAGGTTAAGTGAGGGGCTATTTTTGGCAGAGGATCTTCAATAGTAGCCTTGGATATGGATCAATTATATTTTAACCATCAGGCAGTCCGAGGAATTGTTTTTAAACGATAGTTGAGTATTTTCATGTATATACTATTAAGGCATCTAAATTTTTGGTGTTTTCAGTATATAATTTTACTGCTACTTTTTATTCTTTTTCCATTTTGTACAACTATAATATTAGATATTAAGTGACACAATTCTTTCTCTACTAATGAATCATTTTATCCCACTTAGGAAACTCTAAATTGAAGTCTTGCAAAAGGGAAAAATATATAATGTGGAAACACACAAAAAACTATATTGAAAACAGAGAATTTTTTAACCACCAGAAAAATGTAATCATGATTAACTGATAGTCTTTAACTTTGGAAAAATAGGAGTAATTAGAATCAAAATAAGTCCTAAAAATAATTACCAGTAGTTTTCCAAAAGAAAAATAGAGCCATAAATGGTTAATTGCCCAATTAAGAAACTACCAGATTCTTCTTCAGTCAACACTAACAGGATTCGCATTTGAGCAAGTCAACAAAGCATGTAAATATTTAACATCTCTTGAATATAACATTTTAGTATAACAGAGACTACATAATTCTATCCACTGTTGTGACTGTGCACAAATTAACCAGGTTAAATATCAAATATACATTGGGATTACTTCCAAACCAACAACAAAATATTAATTGAAATGAATTTTAAAAGATTCAGAAATAAAAGTAGAAAACAATTTTAACATGGATGAGACAGTGCTTAAACAATTATTGACCTAATCAACACCTTTAAAATTACCACCAAAATGTACTACAATATATTTTTTTTAATTTAGTTTACAGAAGGAATCTATAAGTACAGGTTGCAGAAAGAAAATGTTTAGTGCTATTTACATTCATTTTAAAACTCTGCTCTATACAAATTTAATTCTGATCAGTAGGAACAATATTTTTGTAGATCTACTGCATATAAAGCCTTTTCATCAAAGCATTAACAACGAACAAACAACCTGATTGCATTTAAACAAAGCTGAACATCTGAAACAATTTACACTTAATGTCTGTAAGGGCTGTGAACACTTACTGAGTATAGAACATAATGTCAGCCTGCAACTTCATTTTTAAAAAGGCTAAAGTTATTTATATGGAATCTTGTTCTATATACTACACGCCAATCTATATTGAAGTTCTATATTTAGCTATTTTATAAGTCTTTTATTAAATATATTCTACACATATTTGTAATTTCATCCAGGAAGAATT